TGCTCCCCTGCGCCCCCCCAGCCACAGCGCAGCCTTGGAGCTCGATCCCAGACATGCGGAGTGGGATAAAACCGGCCCCGGCTCTGACGCCAGGGATGGCGGTGAGGCCAGGCTGAGGGGACGTCCCCACTGCCACCATGGGGCTCTCCCAGCTCCTGCCCCGCGGGGAGCAGGGGGCAGGAACCCAGCGGCCTCCTCCTGCACCGCGCGTGCCCCGCAGCAGCGCGAGCGGCCGCACACGACGAGGAGCAGAAACAGCAGAAACACGTTCCTGCCGTGGGTATCCCAAGGGCAGCGAGGAGAGGCGGGACCTGCTCTAATCCCAGTGGCACCAGGAACGGTGACGGAGCGTTTTAGGCGCTGCTCAAGTTCAGCTCCTGAACTGCCAGCGGCTGTTTTAAGTCTTCATCTCCCGTCACAAAATTAGCAAGGCCTGTGTGCGAGACTTAAGCCTAATTTATGTCTCAACTATTAACACCAGTAAGTAATGACGTTTGATTTCACAGGAGGAAACAAAGGGAAATCCAAAGGCTCAGATCTGCAGCAAACACAAGAGAAATGGCAGGAGCTGCGAGCGGAGCCCGTCGCAGCAGTGCCCCGTGGCCGGGCGGAGGCTGCTCGGCCTTAACCACCTCCACATTTTGCTTCATTAGTGGGAACAAGCTGAGTCTGCCCGGGGACCTGCCAATCTGAAATATTCAGAATGCTACAGAGCTCACAATGTGTAGCGAGACCTTAATATTTAGGTCTCCAGGAGCTAGCAAACGTGCTGACCTTGGAGAACGTGCCCACGGGGAGGCCTCGAGCGATCACAAGCAGCGCGTAGGATTTTCAGGAGGCGGCAGCTTAACCCAGAGCACCTTGAGGACAAACACATCGCAAGAGCTGCCGAACGCCCCGCATCCTGCGCCGCGAGGCTGCTCGGCCAGCGCCGCTTCGCAGCCACCACTTCCTCTCGAGGTGACGTTTCAGCCTGCCCGATATTTTTCCGGTACAAACACGGGTCAAATTATCCCCCTCATTAATTGCAGCGCCGAGTAATCGCCGGGCCCACATTGCAGCCCCGAGGCGGAGGGGAAGGATGGGGAAGGATTCCCTGGCACGCTCGGATCCCGCAGCTGGGAACCGCTGATGCTGAAGGCCTTTATGTACAAAGCGATTAAACCCAAGGAGGGGAAAAAAAGCTGACTCTGTTCAGCTGCTGCTTTGGCCATGTTTAGACAGCTTAATGAGACGACCCAGAGGCGAATCACCATGGGCAGAACATGTGGTGGATCAAGGAGAATGACATAATTTGTCTTGCATTAACCGAGTGTAACGCACGCGTCTCCCGAACGAGAGATCAGGAGGGAGAGCTATTCCGAGCACGTCGGATCTCTGTACGTACACAAAGAAAAGCCTCTATCGCGAAAGCTGCCCAATTAACACTTGACACACACTGTAATTGCTGATGCTCCTTGCTGCATTTATCAGATCATAACCCAACTGTAATGAGCTGTCGACGAGGCCGCACGGGCGGCGGAGTCGGGAATGACACATTGCACCTATTAGAGGGTTCCCATCGCACGAGGGCTCGCAGCGAAGGACGGATAAACCGCAGATAAACACGGATAAATCGCGTTTAAATGAATAAATGAAGATCCCCTCTGGTTTCCAAGTCGCTCTAGTGCCCCACAGCAAGGAGCCTTTCCCAGAGGCCGTGCAGATTCCCGGGATGTCGCTGGAGCGCTCGGAGCAGCGCGCTCGCTGCCCAGCAACCCGGCGCTCGGTTTTGCTCCCGTTCACACCAGTCCCTTTGCTTTGGCAGCAAAGGGATGTCACATCAGCACGGGCCTGGCCAGTCTGGACACTTCCATGGGGACAGGCACCTCCTTGGGAGCGCTTTTAAGGGCAATTCACATCAGTGGGTGCTGCCAGTCACCAGCATCTTCGTATGTGAAAACTCAGCGCACGAGCGGGGTGGGAAGCGGCCCGGAGAGCAGCTTCCTTCCCGGAGAGCTCCCGCCGGGATGAGGGACTGGCCCCACGGGGCGAGCCCGGGCTTTCACGTGGGCTCTTCTCAGAGAGGAGTTTAAAAATGGAAGATAAGGAAACACAAAGTTATTTTGAGAAAGCGGATCTGAAATAAGGAGGCGGCACTTTCCTGGAGCGCTTCCAGCCTCCGCTCCCGAAAGCTCCGCGCTGCCGCAGCCCAACTGCGCTCCCGGGGCTATTTATAGCGGAGCCGGCCGTGCCGGGGGACGCGAGTGTTTCCATTGGGCATCAGGCATGTCCTGCTCGGAGACACACAAACCCCTCGGAGGCAGGAGAACCCCCAGCCACCAGGGCCACCGCCTCGGCCGGCTGGGCCACAAAGTCCTCGCTAAAGGCTCGAAGACGCCCAAGATTTGGATTTGGCTCGCAACAAAAATTCAGAATTTCAGGAGAAACCTCACTGACGTCGGTAGGAGTCTCCTCTGGCAAGGAGCTCTTCCCCGGGCCCAAGAACATCAATCTTTTCCCCTTTAATCCTGGCGTCTCCATCCTGGAGCCAGACCCTCACGGCGGTTTGCTGCAGCCCCCGGCTCCACCAGTGGAGCTGGCTGCTCCGCAGGGAAGGTGCCTCTTGCACAGGGCATTTTTTCCCGGCACGCTCCCTGGGCACGGACACCCTCGCCTGGAGCTCCCCTTCCACCGCAATGGGGATAACCCACCTCACGGAGCTCCTCGCCACGGGCCGGCGCATATC